CCCCCCCTCAATAAATTCTGCAAACGAGAAACCTTTTCAGCAGAAGCCCCCTTTCCCCTTGCGAGGCGCATCCCTGGTAAGACATGGACGTCTGTCACTGATGCTTGGAATGGCTACCACAGTGTGCCACTAAGAGAAGATGACAGACACCTCACTACTTTCATAACTCCATTTGGGAGATGGAGGTACACTCGCGCACCACAGGGTTTTCTTTCTTCAGAGGATGGATACAACAGACGGTTTGATGCCATCCTGTCAAACTTCGAGAGAAAGGAGCGATGCGTAGATGACACATGTCACTATGACGACAACCTTGAAGCACTTTGGTGGAGGACCATTGATCTCCTATCCGCATGTGGAGCAGCTGGCATAGTCCTCAACCCAGACAAGATCCAGTTTGCACAAAGAGAGGTTGAGAGAGAGAGAGAGAGAGAGAGAGAGAGAGAGAGAGAGAGAGAGAGAGAGAGGGAGAGGGAGAGGGAGAGAGAGAGAGGGTGGGGGCGGTGGGATGGAGGGAATAATTATAAGCAGTGGCCTTGGGTGGGTTGTAGAGATCGAGGATACCGCACGAGAGACTTGCTGTGTAGTGGAACAAGTTGCTCAGGTTATAAAGGATAGGCCCTATGTTTAGTGACTGAAAAATAAATAAAAAACGATACAAAAAGACAAGATGAAAATGTAAATTAGATTCAGATGTATTAGGCTATAAATACTTGTTGGTGGCAATGTACCACGTTTGAAATTAAGTAAAACGGACTATCCTGCGTCTGTATTGTATACATGTAAGCCTACCTGTATTGCTATTATTATAGCCTATTATATTAGTAGGCCTATTAGGCCTATAGGCTATAAGGCCTAGATAGTGTGACAACACGGTAGAAAACCCCATTTAGCGCCGCTCAAACTGGCAGAGGTCTTTTTAAAAGTCGATAAATTGACATGAAAGTAAATAAGTTTACGAACCGCCTTTCTATCGTCTTCTAGGCCTATTGATCAAGACACGGCCCACTGAGAAAGCCTCGATCTTGGCCTATCTTGTCTATCTATTCGTGCGTCTGTCTGTCAAAAGTTTATAATATGCTATTCTTTATAATTTATCTATTTGCAATCTAAATTTTGAAAGGGACATGTAGAAATAGTTATGGAAACTAGCCTAACTGATAGCATTATAAATAAAAATAATATTGCAACGATTGAAAGAAATGGACAATATAATATGTGGTCCGAATTGAACAAAATAGCTATGCACAACATTTTTTTGCACAAATCGTCATGATCCGGAAAGTATCATGGCCGACTTCTAACTTTTGGTATCTAAGGGAAAAGGGAATTCTCCGATACTTGTTGTTTCTTTGTTATGTTTATCACCTTTCTGCTTTTGCTTTTAGTGCATAGGAATGTATGAAATGGAGAGAGTTCCCGAAGGGTCAACTTTTCCAAGGTAAGAACCGGGAAAATCTTTTGTTTCTTGTTTGTCCTAGCAGTGGTGTGTGTCTTGTTCACCACTGACTGAACTGAGTGATGATGTTGAACTTGATACATATAATTATAATCTCTCTAGTCTAGATATCTAGATAGATTCTAAGTCTAGATCTAGTTCTAGATTTTAGATCTGGTCTAGATCTAGATCTAGATCTAGTCTAAATCTAAATCTAAGCCTACAAAGCCTACTGCAGTACTGTCACTTGTTGACTGCACTTGAACTTGACAGGTTGATGGCAATTCAAATTAACTCTTGAGTCTTGTCCTGCGTCTGTGCTGAGATGCGAATCTTGTCAGCAGCTGATTATGTCGGACGTTCCAGGCAGGCCGCCGGGGTCACTCAGTGTGTACTGTTGGTGTACAGCACGTGCACCTGTAAACGTGTGTTTTCGCCATGAATACCGTGGGAGTGTGTTATGAAAAAGGAAGTGCCTATTTGCAACGCTGCGTTGCAATTAGCGCCTAAAATGCTAAATAAAACGCTGCGGTGCGATTAGCGCCAGTGCTAAATAAAACGCCGTGTCGCTGTGTGTAAAATATCCAGCTTAATCTGCACTTTGTTATCGGAAGTTCTGAGGGCCGAAGTGACAGCGCGTAGGCGCTTGATATCAAACCATTATTTTTTTAGCGTGGGTTCGATCCCGGTCCTGGACGGTTTTTTTTTCTTTTCTTTTTTTGTTGTTGTTGTTGTTGTTGTTGTTGTTGTCCTCTTCTCGACTGACCAACAAATTGTTCCCATAATTATATCTTGTTGCTCTGTAGTTTTTTTTTAATGTAGTGATGAAGCATGCACTTTCTGGTTTTGTCCCCAAGAGGAACTCTGTACAAAGTAGGCCTTAGTATAGCCTATACTTTTCCTTTTACCAATTTAGGCCTGGTTAAAGTTCAGTAGTGGCTTTCCTTGATCTGTGAGTCTAATTAAAAATTTTTAAATTTTATTTTAGGCTCAGGAGAAGAAAAAAATAACCCTTCCGGGACCGGGATTCGATGCCACACTTGGAAGCAAGCACTGAACATTAAACTTAGAGAACGTAGACAGTAGACAGCTTGTATACGTTCTATAGGCCTAACTTAAAGTTCGAGTTACACCGTCTTGTTATTGTTATTCAAGGCTTGAATCAAGCGTCTTTCGACGTTAAACTTGCTCAAACTTTAACTCAAATGATTATGAAAGATAAAAACAAGTTAAGACGTCTATTTTTGTGCAAACAATGTCAGAAACAATTGTTAGATCTAATCTAGATCTAGATTTTTGTAGATCTAGAAATCTAGATCTACCCATGTTGATCGGAATAAGACAACGTCATAAAAAAAAAGAGTCAAATCCTAGGAGGTTTATAATAAAAAAACTGAGAAAGCTTCCATAATTCAGGCAGAACTACAATATTATCATGTAGAAACGATTGCTACTACATTTAGATCTAGATCTAGATTCTAGTACTGGCGTTTCAAATAGCACAGGAGCTATTCAGAGCGCGGCGTTGCAAATAGCATGGAAGCTATTCAGAACGCGGCGTAGCAAATAGCGCTTGCCTTCTATTTATAAAGTATTACAAACACATGAATAATAACCCCCACTCACAAGCTGATAAGACATTACGAGTGGTTACGCCCATAACCTTTCTAGACGCTCTTGTTGTGATGAATGACCTGAGGTTCGAAAGGGGTATATATATAGGTCAATTTCCGAATGTTTTGCACTCAAATTGCTCTTTGTACCTGCACAATGGTATTCAAAACTATCAAACAAGCTTATTTTTTATCTGATAGTATCATTTCATACAAAATCAAGCTCATTTGAAAGATTTTGTATAGAAAAATGGAAGTCTTGTTTCCTGACTATCCTTTCGAGCTCCTCATGTCTATGTGGGTCAATTTCTTCTATAATTTCATTGGACGAACATCTAGAGCTACCAACTTGGTGTGTTTTGAATGAGACGTATGCCTCGATTACGAACCAACGCAGGCGGTTCTAGAAGAAGGCCACAAACACACACAAACTCAAGCAGACTGACGCACACACACTTGACTTGCGTGAATGGGGATCCAACTCGGGACCCAAATTTCACGTAAGATGATGCGCCGTGCGCGTGCGCTGAGCCAGGGGCTACACTGACTCGGGACCAGAACGTAGACGAGTTGCCGAAATAGGCTTATCGGGCGACATAAACCCGGCCCCCGCAGGATGAGGATTAATAATGAAATGTTGATGTTGTATTCTCGTGTATATCTTTATTATTCCCAAGGAAGGGGGGGAATTTTTTGTTCTACTGTACAGTAGAATTGTAAATGGGTTGATCCAACCATGTCATGCTCATAACTGTTCCTGAAGTACAGTATGGGACTCCTGCTTTTTCTTTCCTAATCTTTACTATCTTCATTTTTCCACTACTTCTTTTGTATGTTTGTCACGCTTTTGTGACCCGGGGTGCCTTGATAGTCGTTCAAGCAGACTTTGTGCTGTTGAAGCTAGAGAGGTGAGCAGAGTAACTCTGATTCCCTGTAAAGACTTTTCTGTTGGCATCCACCCCTTGGCGCTCATGACCTTATATTATAATGCCGTTGCAAGCGCCGTAAAACCCTCTTCTAAAACTAAAACTAAAACCTACTAGATTCTAGAGCCATGAATCCCTCACTTTGCTTCACCATTGCCCCATCTTGTGACCATTCATTGTGAGCTTGAAAATTTCTCTGTTGCAGTCATTTTTTAATAGACTGCAAAATAAACCCACTCTTAAGCCTATAACATTTTGATTAACTATTAGAAGAACAGAATTTATTGCTATCAAAGCATTCAGTTTGTGGAGTAATTGTGAACATATAATGCTCATTGTTTGTGTGAGTTTAGTATGTGTAGTAGAACTACAAACGTTATTTTTGATTCCACAGCAAGAACGAGCATTATTATCTGTTTTGGAAAGATTTTTGCTTTGTAACAGGTTAAGTTCAAATAATCCATTTATTAGTAAGGGTACATTGGGATTAAATTGTGGCTTTCAAGCTCTCACATAGGATTTGTTTTTGTTTTGTCTGGTTTTACAGTGTTTTCTTTGGTATGTGTATGCCATGGTATCTTCCTCCTTTTAAACTTTATAGTGCTCTTTGGAGTAAATGTTCTTTCTTGGTTATGACCGGATTGTAATGTAAAGAAAAATCTTATTTTGGAATAGAAGTGAATCATGACTTATTCATTATACTGTACCTTTTATTTTCTGTCAGAGAACTGGAGGAAATTGCCACCACAAAGCCAATCTACAAAGGAAAGTCACCATATAAAAAGAAAAAAGTTCAGGACAAGATTCAGACGGATAACGTTGCTCACTATGACCTGTCACCGCTTTTTCGCCCCTTTGGTGTGCATCATCCCTCATTGCGGCATGTTTGGTTTGTGAAGGACATCTGTGGAGTGGTGTGTGCGATCTTCACATGGTTGCTGATCCTCTATGCGGAGTATGTGGTCATGTTCGTCATGTTGGTCCATGAGTCGTCCAATATCTACAGCCTCCTGCATGGCGTAGTTTTCAACATTTTGTCCTTCTTGGCTGTTGCCTCACACCTGAGAGCTATGTTTACAGATCCTGTGAGTTTTTCTTACCCTGTAGAACCTTCGGTTTTGTAAAGTGATATGATTTTGTTTTTACTTTGCCTGTCTAGCATTATTTTTTCAAAAGGTTAGCTTTGTTTTCTGTAGTTCTGCTCCTGGCCAATATATGACCTTCCTGCTCATGTGTAAAAGTTAAAACCACCAGTGTCAACTTCCCCTATCCAGATAATCACAATCATCTGCAAAGCATTAAGGTGATCCGTATCAAGTTAATGGGAATGTGTCTTCATGCAGCGCCTGTTTTGAAACAGTAATAGTGTTTTGAAGCTGTGGACACAAGGACAGGTGACAGAGGCCAAAGGATACTAAAGAATCAAGTCTGTTGACAATGATGATAATCTATTATTGTTGATTTACGTGGTATAGTTCAAGTTTTAGTGGTGGACTTTTGTGTTTCACATTTATCAGATCTCTGTTTAGTTCCTCAATGCAATTTATTTTAATTGTGGGAATATTCATAGATGTCAGTGTATTAGTTGTGTATTGATATCATGATGGTATTTTTTTGAGATTCAAATATTAATGTTCTATTCGTTTAGTGTTACTGTTATATAATTGCCTCACCCTATTTGTCGCCATGTAGTTGTCAATGGAAATAATTTTGTTGTTTTTTCACAGGGGGCAGTGCCAAAGGGAAATGCAACCTCTGAAGGGATCAAGAGCTTGGGATTGAAGAAAGGAGAAGTTGTATTCAAATGCCCAAAATGTATCAGCATAAAACCAGACAGGGCCCACCATTGCAGGTGATATGTGTTTTTTTTTGGTTTAAAGCACAGTACATGCCGTAGTTGCCTTTCATCATCATCATCATCATTGCTTTTCTCACCCTGCACCAAGGTATAGGCCACGGACAAACACCCTCCACTTTTCTCTATCCTGGGCTAGCTTCTTGATGTTATTCCATGTCTTCCCACTTTTCTGTACATCGATTTCTGTGATTCTTCTCCAGGTTCCACGAGGTCTTCCCCTTGATCTCTTGCCCTGTGGGTTCCAATCCAAAACTTTCTTTGTTATACAGCTGCCTGACTTCCTGAGAGTATGTCCGATCCATCGCCACCGCCTTCTTCCTACCTCATCTCTGACTGGGATCTGTCTTGTTTTCCTTAACACTTCCACATTGGTGACCCTGTCTGTCCATCTGATCCTCAGTAACTTTCTTAGACACCTGTTCAAGAAAACCTGGATCCTCTTTATACAAGTCTGTGATGCGTTCCATGCCTCACATCCATACAACAGGACCGACTTCATGTTTGAATTGAAAATCCTCAGCTTTGTTCGAAGTGAGATCTCTCTGGTCTTCCAAATCCTATCCAAAGATATGAAAGCAGCCTGTGCTTTTCCAATGCGGGACTATTTCAGCACCTGTTCCTCCCTCTCTGTCAATTATGCTCCCAAGATAGCAGAAGGATTCAACGTTTTCTAGGGCCTTTCCTTCTATTGTGACCTGCCCCTTTCATTATGCATCTGTCCTTAGGACCTTTGACTTTCCGGGGTGGATCCTCAATCCAACAGACTCCGATAGGCTGTTTAATACTGAAGTCTTTGCTTGCATCTGTTCCTGGGTGTGCGACAGAAGCGCTAAGTCGTCTGCAAAATCCAGATCGTCCAACTGTGTCCATGGTGTCCACTGTATACCATTTCTGTGTCCTCTGGTGGTTTCCGTCATCAGCCAGTCGATTGCCAATATGAAGAGGAACGGTGATAGTAAGCATCCCTGTCTCACTCCAGTCTTGATGTCAAAGCTGTCAGTGAGCTGGCCATCATGTACAACCCTGCAACTTGTCCCTTTGTACATGCTCTTCATGAGGTTCACCAACTTCTGTGGGATTCCGTGGTGTCTCATTATCTTCCATAGTGTCGCTCGGTCTATACTGTCAAAGGCCTTCTCATAGTCAAGGAAGTTGACAATCAGCTGGGAGCTCCACTCCAGGGACTGTTCCACAATAATCCTCAGCGTGGCAATCTGGTCAGTGGTTGAGCAATTTTTCCGGAAACCGGCCTGTTCATCCCGTAGTCTTGGATCGGTTCCTGTCTTGATTCTCTCCAGAATGATTCTGTTGAAGACCTTACCTGGTATTGAGAGAAGAGTGATCCCTCTGTAGTTGCTACAGTTGCTGAGATCCCCCTTTTTTGGAAGCTTCACGAGGTGTCCTTCTTTCCAATCCTTTGGGAACTTGCTCTCATTCCAGATCCTGGTAAACAGTGGGAGGAGGATGTCTGCCATCACATTGGCATCTGCTCTTAGGGCTTCAGGTGGAATCTGGTCGGGTCCGGCTGCTTTACCTTTGTTCAGCTTCTTAATGGCATCCAGAATCTCTTGTTTTGAAGGAGCATCACAGCAGATAGGTAACTCATTTCTTGCTGGCAGTATGTTTGGTGGGTTACTCGGTGGTGGTTTGTTCAGGAGACTGTTGAAATGCTCTACCCATCGCTTGGACTGAGCTTCCTTTCCAAAAATGCTTTTCCCCTCTTGGTCCTTTACCGGTACTTCAGGTTTCCCATATTTTCCAGCAAGTGTCCTTGTGGTCTGGTAAAGGATTCGCATATGTGCCCTCCTATTGCTGCTTCCTCTGCCTCCTCTACTAGCCTGTTTATGAATTCCTCCTTGTCTTTTCTTATTGATTTCTTGACATCTTTAGCTGTTGTCCTGTACTGCTCCCATGCATCCGCTATTGATCCTCTTGTTCTACTTGCATTCGCTTCTGCCTTCAGCTGTCTTCTTATCCTGATTAAATCCAATGAGTGTTGGCTAATCCATTCCTTGTGCTCTCATTTCTTTCCACCGAGTACTTCTTGACATGTTGATGTAAAGACTTCTTTGACCTTGGTCCAGTGTGTATCCACCTCCGTGTCCTCACCGCCAAGATCAGCCAGAAGTTGAAATCTGTTCCTCAGCTGTAGCTGAAACTCTTCTTTCTTGTGTCCGTTCAAGAGACTTACTTGGAACTTGGTTCTTTTGATTCCCGTGCTGGTTCCGTGCTTTCTGAGTCGAAGCTTGAGTTTTGCCAACACCAGATGATCCGATCCAACATCTGTCCCTCTCTGTACTTTGACATCTTCGAGTGAACGCCTGAACTTACGAGAGATACAAAAATGATCTATTTGGTTCTCCGTCACTCCATCTGGCGAAACCCATGTGGCCTTGTGGATCCTCTTGTGGGGAAAAACAGAGCCTCCAATAACAAAACTGTTGAAAGCACATATATTTGCGAATCGCTCCCCGTTCTCATTCATTTGTCCCAAGCCATGTTATCCCATAATTCTTTCATACCCCACGTTGTCCTGACCAATCTTGGCATTGGCATCTCCCATTATGATGTTGACGTCCTTCCTTGGTAGTTTATCGATGACCCCCTGGAGCTGGCTGTAAAAGGCATCCTTGTCTTCATCCGAAGCATCATTTGTTGGGGCGTAGAGTGAATGAAGCCATGATGATCCTTTCCCCGTGTGGTTCCCATCCTCTAAGTGACTTCTGTGCATACTTACTCAAAATGATTCCCACTCCCTCCGCATGGTACTTGTCTTCCCTCCCAGAATACAATACTTGTTCCCCCGAGCTGAGCTGCTTCTGTCCAGACTGTATCCAGTGTGTTTCGCTGACTCCTAGTATGTGCAGCCTGTATCTCTTCATCTCTTGTACTACTTGAGAACTCTTTCCTGCTTCATACAAGGTGCGAACATTCCATGACGCAATCCGGAGAGACTTGTTCGACCGAGAAGGTTTCGGGTCAGAAGAGTCCTTTCGGCTTTGTCCGCTGTCCAGCATTGTTCCTGCTGATGCAGAAGCTCCTCCGTCTCCCAAGATCGAAAAATAAAAGCTGTGTTTGTCCGTGTTTCTGTAACTTACTGTTTTTACTGGATTGGGTAGTTGGCCCTCCGCAAACTGGCACTTTTTGGGCGACCAGACTTATGCACTTTTAGTCGCCTCTTACGATATGCAGTATCATAGCAGGTGTATTCTTTGCTCCCCCGGGGCCCCCCACCAGCAGGGGAGTTGCCTTTCATAACTAAGAAAATTTTCTCTCATATATTTATAACTTGTAAAACTTACATAATCAGTTGGAAATGAATAGTCTGTATCTTTTGGATATAATGTATCATGATTAAAATGATATTATTTTGAAAGGTTTAACTAGGTTTTGATCTTTTTATGTCTGTAATTCAGTGTCTGTCAACGCTGCATCCGCAAAATGGATCACCATTGCCCTTGGGTGAATAACTGTGTTGGAGAAAGCAATCAGAAGTATTTTGTTCTTTTCACTGTGAGTACTTTTTCGATTGTTTGATATAAATGGGAAAAACGTTTGATCTTGAGGATCATAATTTTCTTTTAACACTTTAGAAGAATTTGTTGCTTTACATTTTGAAACAAAAGAATTAGATTTATATTTAAACTAGAACGCTGGCAGTGTATATCTTATTGTCGGTGGGATACTAATTAATGGGTTTTTTTTTTGGCTTCCTTGCTCATCTTGCAGGATCTTTAATGTTTCTTGTTATTGGTGTCTTATGTCACTATATAGATGATAATTCATATATTTTGACTATTGCTTTTCTATGAGTGAGTGGAATCTAGCTTTCATGTGGCCACATGTCATCTTTGAAGATGCTGTTTATTGTTTGTTTTGACTACAGACTGTCTTCTGCTATTAAATTTTAATTAATTTGGAATTTTATTACCCAAATGCAGATCACCAAAACCCATATTTTCTGGAAGACTTTTATAGGGTCAAAATTCTGTTACCAAATTTTAATACAAGTATAATCAACAGTAAACCATTATGACAGGTGATGAGGTCTTCAGTTTAAGCAACTGCTTCATTATATTTGCTTCTATTAAAGATAATATAGTGAGAGATCGTCTGTCTGTTTTGTGTCCCCAGATGTACATATGTCTCATCTCCATTCACTCATTGTATATGGCAGTGGCACATTTCATCCACTGCGTAGCCAAAGATTGGAAAGGTGAGTCTTCAGGTAAACTTTCTGAGACTTGAGAGTTGTGATATATGATTTACTTGTACTATTAGAACAGTATTCTGAAAGAAGTTTGAACTTTTATTTTCTTAATTTAACCCCTTGACTGCTAACCATTTATGGACCCCAAATGCTAAGGAAAATTCTAACGTGCGCAAGTTGTCATAGGTCACAGTCTTTAATCGGCGAATTTACCCTTGCCATGAAAGACACTTTGGTAAAACTAATACCAATATCAATGAAATATCTATGAAATATCAATAGAAAAATACACAGGTTTGAGCCGTCTTATGAGATACGTTTACACAGCACTGGGCGGTAGATTATCGGTCTGTATGAGATACGTCCACTTTGCAGTGAAGGCTTAAAAGGTAAACATAACTAGTGGAATGTAAAAATGTATTTTATCTTAAGTGGAGAAATGTGGTAATGAATTGATTTTTAAAATGAGCTAAAATATTGTTTTGGAGAACTCTTTTTCCTGGTGTTGGTGCATTTTCTCTTACTTTAAGAAAAAAAGAAATAATAACTTGTCATTCAAGATGTATAATTTTTGTCAGTCTTTGCATGTGCTCGGAGGCGTGAACAGTGGCTAAACTAAAGTGTGGTATTGGGAGCTCTAGAGATGGTGGATGCTCTGATGAATAGCAGGAACATGCTGAAAATAGCTGTCCCCGTGGTTTTAGGCACCCCGCATAATTTAGCAAAATTTGATCATTTTTTGCATAATTTCTGATTATTTTCCTTCTTTATTCTTTGTTACAATTAACAGAATCGCATAATTTCACATTTTTGGGCTCAGTTTGCGTAATTTCAGATTTTTTGTCCTTAAAACCACGAGGACAGAAATAGAAACAGTCTGACAAGGTTGGGGGGGTCTCTTGTGGTCCAGAGGTTATGGTGTTTGCCTCTCATTCAGTAGGTCTCGCGTTCGAAACCTGACAGCAATGGAAAATTGTCTTCTCTAAAATTTTCTCCTTTCACCTCCTTTCCTGTTCCCTAGCCATGTTCTGTCGTCTGCTTTCGTTTTCACTTTCTGCACACCGCCCCCCCCCCCCAACCCCCACCCCCTTTGCACTCTCCTTTTGGCTCCTGACTCTTTCTGCAGCCTTTCTCTTTCTACTCCTTGGCTCCTCCCTCCTTCTTACTGCTGTCACACTCCCCGTGATGTTATGGCAGGTGAGGTCCAACACATAGTCTTCTCGGATTAGGGCGAAATATCTCGGAGGTCCCATGTGCAAATTGCGCTTGATAAAAATCCCTTTGTGGTCCATAATTGATGAATAGGCTTCGGCCGCTACCTAGTCAAAATTAAAAATTAATTCCTACCAAACTAAAAATGTTCAATGCGTCCCGCTTGCTCAAATGACCTTATGCAGTTGCGAGCGTCGTAAGACACTTCTAAATAATAATAATAAAAATAATAATAATAATAATATATAACATTTATATAGCGCATTTCCAAAAAAGTAGCTCAATGCGCTTTACATTGGAATACCCATTTTTCAAAAACCTTTCTTACTACTTCCTTTCTTCTCATGCAATATACATTAATGCACACAATCACACATACACACACACATACAAACACACACACACACACACAGAGACTATTTTCATCCAGACATAGAAACAGAACAACTATAATGAAAGATAACATTAAAAGCTTATGAAGGATAGGCCTGTAGGAACAGAAAATGTTTAAGATGTCTTTTGAAGCTATCAAGTGTTCTTATTTGTCTTAGTTTCATGGGTAATCTGTTCCACATAAATGGACCAAGATATGAGAAAGATCTCTCTCCATATGATTTGTATGATTTTACAGGTGTCACAAGTTGGGTGTTATCGTTTGATGATCTTAGGTTTCTCCCTGGTTTATATATACTGAGAAGTTCTTGTAGATAAAAAGGAGCAGTTTTATTTACACATTTGAAACACATGACGCAGATTTAAAATATTATTAGTTCTTTTACAGGGAGCCAATGCAGTTCTTTTAATAATGGAGTGACATGGTCTCGTTTTTTAGATCTTGTTATCAGTCTAGCGGCATTGTTTTGAATTACTTGTAAACGATTCAAATATTTGTTGTTCAGACCTGCTAGGAGTGAGTTACAATAGTCTAATCTAGATAGGATAAGAGATGTTACCAGTGTTTTTGTGGTCTCTTCGTTTAAGTACTTTCGAACTAGGCCTATCTTTCTCAGCTGAAAATAAAGGGATTTGGACAGAGATCCTACAAACGAGCCCATTGATAAGTGGTGGTCAATATATACACCGAGATTCCTGACATTTTCTTTACTAGATGTCATATGCCCATATAAATCAAAGTTGACACTTTCCAGATGTTTATTTAATCATGGATTTTTTATAAGAATGATGTCTGTCTTTTCTTCGTTTACTGTCATCCACTTTTTGATTTCATAAAAACATTGTTTAGTGATGCAAATCATGTTTGGTAGATCTTGAATGGTGCCATTAACATACATTTGGAAATCATTGGCATAAAAATGATAATTCAATCCATGATTTTGTAAAATGCTTGCTAAGGGCTTTGCTGTGCCTATGTGCTTTTCATTACTCAAACAAACAAATGTTTCATTGTGTGCCAATGGAGTTTAAAGGGTTTTTAATAGTTTAATGCCATATTATTTTCCACAGGATGCTCTGGGATGTCCCCTCCAGCGACCACCATCTTTCTCATCTTCCTCATCTTTGAGGGCATGCTGTTTGGCATTTTCACTGGTATCATGTTTGGTACACAGATGGCGGCTGTCTGCTCGGATGAGACGGTGGGTAACACATACTCGTAGACCCTCTTTTCTAAACTGCTTAATGAGTCCTACTTTGTCACAAATTTCTTTATTTGATGACTTGTGATGTGTAGATGTTTTGTACCCTTTATGGTAGAAGGGGTCATTGGAATTCCGGGCTTCTTTCTAATGAGTCTTATATTTCTATTTGTCATTTTAATATTCCTGCAAAAAGTAAGTTTTATTGTATTTTTTTCCTGTAAATTGAGTTAGAACTGTCCTTTACTGGTATAGCAAACATGACTTGGAAACCATTCAAGCCATTCTTTAAAAAATGTGGAGGCATCTTTTGTAATTAGAATATTTTTGGTCAGTTGGTATTCTTACTGGTACCTCTTTTTTTTGTTATAGGTTACCATGCAAAAGTGACCTGTATGTTTATCTGAAATGGGGACTTAAGCAGAATTTTTGACATAACAAGATCTTGCAAATAATGTGTCTACTTGTTAAGGGGGCTCGATACTTACGGGACCACATTTTTAACTAAAGACAAACTGAAACAACTTTTGTCACAGGCAGTAAGTAGTATGAGACAAAAGATTCATCTTCAACTGTTGATACACTCGATTACGTAAGCCGTTGCAATGGAAACGGTGGCCTTCTTGAAAATTGGATAGAGATTTTTTTTTCTCCACCATTTCTACAGTTTTTAACTTTGAAAAATTCTGTAACTTGCAAAATGTCACAAATAAATAGGTGCTTGCAGTTAGCTATTTTGATTTTTGATACTATACTTAGAAAGTATCCAAAATTGTTCTCAAATTTGGGGATATTCTATTTGATCTTTAAAAAAATATTTTAAGCATAAAAAAAAACTCTCAAAAATTCTAAAGCAAAACGTAAAAGAACTATTAGCCCACTACTAGTACAAATTATTTTTCTAACGAGAGTAGAGGCGGTAGTCCGTGCTACCCTGAGCATATAAAGTCTCCTTGCCAGTCCCCGGTGAGAGGGGAGGTAACCCCTCAATGACTGATGAGAAGCATATTTCGTCTGCTATCTTCAGCCCAGCGCGCTGTGCCTGCTTTGTTTGCCCTTCTCCCTCAGTAGTGGCATTTGTGTGACAAAGTGAGGACGAGTGTGTGCGCGTTCCTACTGGAAGGTGAAGCGTTTTATAGAGGGGCTGCGTGCTTGGATAGGACGGGTCTTGCAACATGCCCTAATAACTTCTTATTATGAATCTTATAGGCTAACATATCATTTTCTAATCACAAAGAATGAAGTATTCTTACAAATTACACAAGAGTTAGTTACATGTGACACTCAATTTTTATGTATAGCCAAAAACAGGAAGAAAACAAAAAATAATTGAGGCCAACACTTACAATGTAAACAGTAATCTGTTAGTGAGTCGAGATAACTCTTAAAAGTCATGAATTAAATTATATAAGAACAGCAAAGTAGATCTACATGTGGATCTAAGTGCTCATGGATAAACAAAGATATTGTTCACACTATTTGTGTGAAACAAATTGGGATGGGGGAGATTAGTCAACACAGCAAAAGAGTTCAATGTCCATGGCATCCAGGTCTTCCTGAGTCTTGTCCTTCAGGTCCATCTGTTTGACACAGTTGGAGTGCCACCACTTGTCACAAAGCATGCACTGGGTGAGCACTGCTTATCCTGCGGTGGTGGCTCCACATCCAGCACAGTCGACCGCAATGTCCCCACAATCGTCGGAGCTGTCGTCGTACACCTGTTCTTCTCCCAAGTCAGAGGAATCTGCATCCTCTTTCTTCTTCTGTAAGGCCTCAACCAAAGCATTCATCTTCTTCTCCTGAATTCTCCTCTTCTTCTCCTCCTCTTTCTCCTTCTTTGTCTACTCCTTTTGTTTTTTCTTCTCTTTTTGGCGTTCCTTCTTGTCTTCAGCTTGGGCTAGCTGTTCCATCTTTCTCTGCTCCCTTTGCTTCTTTCTCTCTTCCTTCTGCTGTTGTTCTCTCTCTGCCTTCCTCTTTTTTGTGAGTATCATCTCTTTCTAGTCATTTCCACTGATGGACGGTGGCACAGGTGGCTGAGACCTTTTAACACCCTTGTTCTTTGAACATGATGGTAATGTGAGCACCTTGTCGATGGTCATCTGCCTGGAGGGGATTTGAGGTTCCAGGGCTCTTGCTGGTGGCTGGGGGAGCGGAGGAGCCAGATGTTCAATATTGTCCATCTGACTGGACCACATGTTGTGGTCCGGGTCGATCTTGAGGTCGTATCCTTTGTCATACCTCTTGAGGCACAGGTCCACCTTATCCACCTCAAGCTTTAAGTTCATGGAGAATATTTCCTGGAGTCGATGACGGTGAGTTTGTGACGTCGTGGATAGCTCAGAGGCAGAAGAAGTGGAAGGGACAGAGGCAGATGAGGTGTGACGGATTCCGTGGTGCCTGTCATGAACTTCCTTACTCCTTCTTGCCTTGCTGGCTTGATTGCCCCGAAGAACGCCTGGTCCAGAGGCTGTGTCATGTGGCTGGTGTGGGCCTTGGGGCAATATAATGTTATCCCGTTCTGGCTGCAGAGGTCTGAGATGCAAAACCCCGCCTTACCAGACGCCATGCGTCACTCAACTTCTACCCCCACCGAGATGTCAGCATGTCTCGACCTCCACCCATCCCCTCAGAGAGGCTGAGCGGCTCCGTGCTTTGCTTAGCACTGATGCTACACACACAACACACTGCTTTGTGTGTAGTACAAGTATGCACATCTTCGTAAAATTATTCATTGACAGCCTTATAACTGCAGGTCAATACACTGTTAGAATACATAATCAGCAAGCTTGAAAATAGTTTGCAGTAAGCAACCACAGCGACCAGCCAAGGGTCTCGTGCCACAGGAAAGGGTGCTGTCAGATGTTGATAAACGCGGGAACGCTCTAGCATGTCTAAATCGGTTCATACCACAGGGTTGTCGTGCTGCCCCACCTGTCGCACAACCCCGGCGCACTCTACTTGCCAAATTTTAAGTCTCTGTGTTGGAAAATTTTTTAAATGGTGGAGAAAAAAAAGTGCATATATGCAAGCAAAAAGTGGTGAAAAAATGTGTATTGAGAAGAACAAGGTTAAACATCGAAAATGTTAGTACACACAGTAGAACTCAGCGAAATTGAATTCTGTTAATGTTACTCACTCAGCGACTAGTGTCAATAAAATCTAGACTGAATGAGAGATTGGAAAATACCAAAAGTATAAAGTGCTCAGAATGAGTGAAAATCAGTCCCCGAGGCCCGAGGCCCTAGACCCAAACCGCGAGCCCCCTTAAATGAACTTGACTCTGTTTTTATGTTAGAAAGTGGAGAAAGAGCTTTGGCGGCCACCTATTACTTTCAGGAGGTTATATTGCTGTGTTATTAGTATCTAATTACCATGGTAATATGGTAACTTCCGAGAGATTCACATGACCCTCATCAGAACCATGTCTTTTAAAATTATTTTTACAAGGAATAGATATCATGAGTACCATTTTTCTCTCTTTTTCTTTAAATTTTCAGGGGATCGAGCAGTTGAAGAAGGAGCAGCGAGAGCGACAATCTCGTTGGCTCAGCATGAAGGCAGTCTTTGGGCATCCATTCTCCATTCACTGGTTCTCACCGTTCTCTACTCCCAAATTTCTTCGTGCTGAGAAATACTATTCTGTATAGCCTAAACTTCTCGAAACTTGAGTCATTGTTTTAAAAAAAATTGTTTTGTTTTGTGTGTGTGTATGGACTGACCCATGGCACAATGTGGAAAAGTACTTTTCTAGCAGGGAGATGACTTTGTACATACAGGACCGGCAGGTAAAAGCAGAGACACCATTCTGCACCACTGTCTTTGATACTGCTGTAATGTATTTTCCCTAACTATGGCTAGCTTTGTGCTCCGGGCGGTAAAGTCAAGAGTTCTTAGAGAGAACCGTAAAAGCTCTCTTTCCAGTGATTGATGATGCCGGAGTGTTATTGCCCCTTTGGGGTAGTGTCCAAGATCTTTGTAATCCAGTGCACTGTGGATGAAATTAGCTGTACTGTAAAGAGAAACCCATGATATTTTGTAAGAATTTTATAAATGCCTTGTCTTCTAATGTCTAGAAAGGTCAGGTGTCTTAATCACACATAAAAGTATATGGCTAGATCTAGAGAATTGTGATTTTCAGCAAGTTGTGTCACTGACTCATTGAATTATAAACTTATGAATTCTCCCCCCCCCCAGTCTTTGGATTGTTTGATGGTTTATTTTGATCTTCAACCATTTAATGCTCTAGCATTCAAATGGCTTTCTGCAAGTAGTAGTGTTCATCATATTTGTCTTTATCTCCTCCTTCGGGTCTACATGAGCTGAAGACTGGCATTTTTGGGGTATTTCAATATTTCAAACAACACCCTTCCCAAAGACATACAACCACCATTTTTACACACACAACCGATCAAAACATGCCCAATATTACGCAAAAAACAGAAAGGCTATATCTTTTATAATTTTTAGAAATGATTTTTTGAAAATGTGCTAAAATTTGTTGCTCGCCAAATGTTTTAAACGTAATGAACCCCCCAAAAATTAACCTTATGTGTGTATTTTATTGTGTTTTGTGTTTCAAAACGAATAAAAAGTCCAAAATCATGAATAGGCAGGTAATCAATATAGTAATCCTTATGTATTAGCTGTCTAATCCACTACAGTGTGAAAAAAACAGGGCTCCAGACAAAGCGGAATTTTGCATTTGAAAGCCTTGTCTAGATCTAGAACACTCTCAATGAGAATCAGTGCTTTGATGCTCATTTACATGGAAATGAGGATCCCCATGGTCTAAAATACCATAATCAGAATTTTCTGACCTGTCAAAGTCGACAAACGCTTGAAAAATGTTTGCTTTTTCGTGCTGCCAAGTGGGTGGTTGGTGGGTGCTCTGGTGTGGTTTGCTCCTTCTTTCCTATCATACAACTCTAGTCCTGATCTCTCCTCGTTCTTTTTTTGTGTTTGTTACTCTCTTGTAACACCTAATCTTCGGCACTTATATGATCTTATTGTGTTGCCGTAAAACTCTTACTAAATCTAAACGTGCTGCCATCGTTCTGACAGTGTTGCGAGAACAAACATGTCGCAGAAACGAAAGTAGGGCTTCAATGTGACTAAATTTCCTTTCGGGTCGATAACTCAAAAAGTTTCCAGCCAATTCCATTGAAACTTAGCACGAAACGAAACAAAGGTCTGCTGCCCACTAAGAGACAGTTCGCGCAGCGTTTGCGTGCATATTTTGCTGAGGGCAAAATGCAAAACTTGTGCTCGCAGGGGGTACGTGAACCGCCTCTCGGGGATATATTGGTGCTCGCAAATGCTGCGTGAACCGTCTCCGGTGAGTTAAGTCAATGGGAAACATTAATTAACAAAAACTAAAATCAAAATTACTGTGTGTTTTGGGTTATATTGTGGATATGGCTACTTTTCTATTTGTTAATCAAAGATTTGAACATTTCTGCATTGAACTAATTATGCACAGTTGTCTGCACTTTGAAGAAATCTTTAAGACTCAATGGAGATTTAGCTACTAATATGAAGACTGTTTCATCAACAAGACATCAAGTTGAGTTAATTATTATAGAACATAGTGTTTTTTTGGCATTTAACAATTAATTCTGTTGCTTCTCCATCCTTTCGGTCCTCTTGTCAAGCCTGTTCTCTGCAGGTCAGTTCTCAACCACTACTATGAAAACCCAGCTGTTCACTCCCTAACCCCTGGAGAGAGATGAGCCACCACACTGCTGACCCTGTTGTATAAATGCGGCTAGCAGACTTTTCTCTAGAGTCTGGACTTAATCTGTATTTTTCAGTCGAGTAAGAACTGTTCTTGCCATCTTTTTATTGACTGATATTCCATATCGATGTTCATTGCTCACTCAACTCTTCTTTCTGTTTCTTATGGGCTTTATTCCCCCCTTCCTCCCCCCCTTAAAGATTGCCTTTTGCCAATGTCCTTGAAGTCATGTTGTGCCCTAGTCTTTATTATTTCTAAAGTTCTGTAATTTTCAAGCTGTTGTAAGGACAAGTAGGCCTACATTAGGTTATGTTTCTGTGATGTCTTGAAGAGGAAAACAAGGCCTACTGTAGTACAGTCAAATCAAATACCGGTATATTTAAGATGGCTGCCCATTGCCGAGGAGAATATGGCAGTCTTAGATAGGTGGCCATCTTAGTCAGGACTGATGAAAATGAAGAAAACAAACAGTTCCCTTCTGAGGTCTCAGTGGGAGACGGTCGCAGGCTCAGGTCTGCCGTAAAACCCTTTAAAATGTTACGAACTTGGGTAAACAGTTGAAGGGACCAGAAACCTCGCCATTGCAATATGCTGGTCTGTGATTGGTTCATTCAAAGAACAGGCTAATAATAATGACAGGTGAATGACGGCTCACCCACATTGTCAGGGGCTGATATGTAAATTATGGCAACGCTCCGGGCCATGAGAGATTTGCTTGGCCATCTCAGACAGGTTTTTTTTTGCTTTTGGTGGATGAAATTGTAGTGGCAGGGGCTGTGTTGGACGGGTTATCATTAAGGCAATGCCATTATAAAGAAAAAAAATGTGAGGGGGGGAATAAATAGTGGCCGTTTGTACTGGCCGTTGTTATAATACAGGTGGGTGTCTGGGCAGGTTCGACTGTACTTATACAATAATGAATAGTAACCAAACCGCTCTCTATGTCAACTCTAGACTGTGGATCCCCGATGATGCTGAGTAATTGAAAATGGGTTTTCACCATAACAGCTCTTCATTACTTTGTTGTGTGCTCTGTGAGTCGTAAATCGGTGTTCGCCATTTGTTGTGTGCTCAACTTTTTCTTTTAATTCTGGGCTTTTTAATTCTGATTTTCTTTCTTTTTTATTTCGTTTTGTTTTTTTTAAATTGAGAAAATGGGAAATTGGGGAAGAGTGAATGTGAGATGGCTGAGGACGGATGCTTTCTAACGAGATGCATGTAGGAGGTAGAAAGACAAGTGTAATATGTGGCTGCACAGGAAAACCTTATGCACAGATCCCAAAGTCATTATGGATAGTTTATAAACTGCAATTTATCGTCTTCAGACAACTCGCAACATTTTACTTTTTATTTAATATCATAAAATATTCCTGTTTAGATCAAGAGCTAAAAGGGTTTATGTGACAGAAGGTGTAGGTAAAAAAGAAGAATATTTAATGACTTTTAGATCAGCCTATCTGAATATTGCTTGGGACTTGGGACAAGTTTTCCTGTGCCTCCACATATTCAGAAGTAAATTGAGTCCAAGGGTTGATGTCTGTGATGTTCGTTGAAGGCTTTTGTCCTTCTTTGGACTGGCTGAGCGGTCACACTAAATTGTAATGCTTATCTTATGTAAACATTTAATTTATTTAATCAAATACACATTTCATAGTTGAAATCATTGCCATGTAATTGTCATTTGATGTATTTTTTAAACATTGTTTTCTACTGTTTTTAATGATTTACTCGTACTTCTCAGAATGCTTTGACATGTATATGATATGTAGGTACTAGTACAATCTCCTGTCTATGAACGCAACAATATTTAATTAGCATTGAAGAGATTGTAGATTGTTTAAAAATATTTGTATCCTTATAATACTTTATTGTATTAGTGGCGTTGATGGTCAAGTGGTTTGGCTGTGGAACACTCTACTGTAAGGTCGTGGGTTCCAATCTCTTCAGGGACCAGTTGTTCAGTTCTTGGAAAAAATTTATAGTTAAAAAAAAACTTCTTCTATCATCACAATTTTTATGCGGGTCATTCAGAATGGAATGTAGTATCTTGTGATTGTGTAAACCTTTATGCCAATGTGTTTATACATTTTGCAATAGCTGTGATGGTCGGATGTAGCTCTAGCTCTAGTGGTGAGCCATTACTGGTGTTTTTGGTCTCACTATTGCCGTCGTCAAAATCAGAGTCACTGTCAACACTATCACTTGATGAACCAAATATTTGAACACACCACTGATCAAAATTCAAGAACAACTGTAAAGTTTTTGCGTTGGAAAACCTTTTTGGGACTGGGATTGTTCATTTTTCATTTCCAAGTGGGGAAGTTATTATATTGAGTATCTTTATCCTTCTGTTGGTTTGCTGTACACCACTTTGCTGTGGTTGACTCTAATAGGTGTGATCGATGCCTTTAATCAACAGTTTTCTGTCACATCCACACAGAAATGTGTCATTTGAGGACATAAAGGTGTTGAGCCAAAAAAAGAAAAATTGCAAAATATTGTCCAACCCCCAGAAAAATTAAGGTTTCTTTGATTCCTTTGTTTTGCCGAGTGCCGGATTTCGCCACGCTGTCTCACATATTTAAGAAGCCTTCATGGCAGGTAGAAGAGGAGCCAGTTCATAGAAATAATATTCAAATAGAATGGAACGGTACTGAGATAATTTGATGATTTAACACTTCGCAGTCACACAGCCAGCAGTACAAAATACGGCATCTGGTCACCCAGCCAGGAGAGCGACTGCAACCGACTTCTTGGGCCCGGCGCCAGGTGACCGCAAAGTGTTAAAAAACTATTATCTCTTCTCGACAGACATGACAGTTACAAGTTAATTTTTATCGAATGACTGATTTATCTTTCTCAAGTATAATAATATATGCCCTGAAATGTACTGTGTATCATTATGTTTTCTGTATTCATGGTTTGTTATACGTGTATGAGTAATAAGGACATATTGATGAAGACTGTTCTTACCATATTTCCATCAAAAGAAGTTGTCTCATTTCTGTCTAGGTAGTCAATGTCTCACTGGCCAACTAGTTTTTTTAGCTGAAAGAATTGATCATATTCTTTAGGTTATGTTAAATAATGGACTTGCAGTTTTCTTTGTAGTATGTTTGTTTAGTACAGGGTTTTACGGCGCTCGCAACTGCATAAGGTCATATGAGCGCCTTTGTAGTTTGAGTTTTAGGTGTGTCAACAGAGATAAAAAGTAAGTAAGTTTTTTTTTTTTTTTTGTTGGTAAGTTGGTGCTGAGTTTGTACTGTGAGTACCAATTACGTATAACGGACAGAGTGCAGCTAAGGAAAAAAATTTAAATTTCAAGTGACTGATACATATAGCCATGATTTGCCCTTCAAAGCATCATTTTTATTCTGTTTAGATGTATCTCGATTCTCTCAATCTGTGCTGTAGTTCTCAAGTTAGTTTTGTTCGATGGCTTGATGAGAGTGCACAGAGATTTTCAGATACCTGGTGTGCACAACTGACCTATACAATCAGGAACTGTTACAAATATCTCTGCCGTTGTCTTTGCTTATTTCTGTTTTGACTTTTCCTGCAGAATTAAAAAAGACTTGACCAATGATTGATCTGAATTATGCTCCAAGCTGCAGTTTAAAGCATTTTAGCAAAACCTTGCCCTGAGGGCGCTCTGATGGATTGGTTTTGTTGCATCAGGTGCCGTTTCATTCCTGACAGAGCTCCGGGTGTACATCATTTGTCATTCCACATTAACACTTGTTCTGTGCTTAGCTTTGCTGTCACTTACTGTCTCAAAACAGGAGCTACAGGAGCTATTTCCACA